GTTGCTATACCTGCGGGCGGGTGCTCTGGTGTGGTATGCTCCTTCTTTCGTATCAAACGTGTATCGTCTTTATCTCCCTTCCTTCTTTTTTGTGTTTGTTACTCTCTTGTAACGCCTCTAATCTTCGGCACTTATATGACCTCATTGTGTTGCAAGTGCCCTTACTAAAACTAAACTTTCTTTTCCTCTTCATGTTATCTGTAAAAGCTGTAGATGTTCTGCCTCCCCATCGACATATTTCAAAAATGTATTTCTCCGTGACTTCTTGATTTTTCTCCTCTCTTGTTGGGTTTGTTTGCTGCTTTTTTGCTGCTTTATTTTTGTAATCTACTGGTCGCAGCTTGACTAGATCGTTATCCTTATTTTTTAAATTCAAACTCAGACACTAGCTTCCTGCAAACCCACCCAACCCTACCAGCCCTCTCCCCTCCCGACACCTTGGTAGCCCTTTAATTTCCGCCCCTGTTGTTCGGGCACAGTGACTGGTATGCTGTGTCCACTGGGTCTACATGGTCTTTCTAACTGTTGATCGATATCTCGGGCACTGGCCTATCGGGGCTGTGTATGTGTTCAGAGACTGGTGCGTCTATGATGTAACTGGATGGAAATCGAATTTCTTTCCCTTAGGCTTGGACATTGTAATTTATTTCTTGGAAAGGGGAGGGGGGTCAGGGTAGTGCAAGGGTTATGACACTCGCCTCGTAATCCAAAGGTTCTGGGTTCGATCCCTGCATATCCCACGGACTGCTTCTCTAGCTGTCTTTGTATGGATGTCTAATATTACTCAGTCTGATCCTATATTATATAGGGGTAATGATATAGTCGAAGTCTTGATTCGGAACTTACCGACGTACAACGCACATCCATGGTCTCCACTCTCTATGCGGCCAACATGAGGGTAGTTCTGATGCCATACGCGAAAGATGATGTATTTTGTTTAAAGAAGGGAGACCTCTACTAGATCTTTACTGATGACTGTCAAAACAGAGGTGCCGCCGTGTCTGTCTGTCTGTCTGTCTGTTTGTCTGTCTGTATGTATGTATGCATGTATGTCGGTATGTCTGTCTGTCTGTCTGTCTGTCGGTATGTCTGTATGTCGGTATGTCTGTCTGTCTCTGACTGAATGCGAATTACTTTAAAATACATCTGCTTTATCATGCAGGTTTATTTTTTTTTATAGTAGAAGGTTTTACGGCGCTCGTAACTGCATAAGGTCATATGAGCGCCAAGGGGCGCGTGTCATCAGAGAAGTCTTTACAGGGAATCAGACTTATTCTACTCACCTCTCTAGCTTCAACAGCACAAGGTCTGCTTCGACTATCAAGGCACCCCGGAAATAGCAGGTCACAAGAGAGTGACAAACATACAAAAGAAGTAGAGGAAAATGACAATAGTAAGGATTAAGAAAGAAAAAGCAGCAGTTCCCTGTTGTAGATCAGGCACAGTTATGAGCGTGACATGATTCAGCCCATTTACAATTCTAATGTGCTTGAACGAGAAATGTCCCCCCTATGGAAATGGCCTAAAGACACTACTGTCAGTGGCACTGCACCCTGGGGTAGGATCATGCAGGAAATTCTTCCAGCTTTAAAGGCATAGAATAGACAAGACGTTAGCTCAATTGTTGTCATGCTACACTATAGTGCGGATGTCCCTGGTTCGAATGTCCAACGGGGTGTTTTTGACTTTGGATTGTGTAGGGAGATTTTTAGGCTCTCAGTCTCCTTGAGTTGGCTCCAACATAGAGACGGGCGTTACATTGGGAGGTTTCCTTCGCTTTGATTATCGTACAGTCCTGAAACTTGCATTGTACCCATATAATTACCACTTTACCAACAATAGAACACCTTTAAGATTAAAATGGTTGTCTTTTTTTCTCATCGCCCAGGCACAAGTGATCCTTACGTGAAGTTCAAGGTGGGCAACAAGCTGGCCTACAAGAGCCGGACCATACTGAAAAACCTGAACCCTCGGTGGGACGAGCAGTTCACCATCCCCGTGGAGGACATCACCAAACCGGTCACCGTCAAGGTCAGAGAAGTGTTTACATCGATCATGCAATATACCTCTAACCATGGAATAACGCACAGTAGCATATAATATGTCTATTTGTTTATTTGTATTATGTGTGTTATGTCTCTGTCTCTCTCTCTGTCTGTCTGTCTGTCTGTCTGTCTGTCTGTCTGTCTGTCTGTCTGTCTGTCTGTCTGTCTGTCTGTCTGTCTCTCTCTCTCTCTCTCTCTCTCTCTCTCTCTCTCTCTCTCTCTCTCTCTCTCTCTCTCTCTCTCTCTCTCTCTCTCTCTCTATCTCTCTCCCTCCCTATCTCTTTCTCTCTCTCTCTCTCTCTCTCTCTCTCTCTCTCTCTCTCTCTCTCTCTCTCTCTCTCTTTTCCCCTCCTTTCTCTCTCACACACATGCACAGACATAGGCAACTAATTTAGAAACCATATTTGTCTATCCAGATCAAGTCCTTTTAGGGCCACTGTAAGTGAAGCTACTTCCGTTCTCTGAGGGAGGCAATCGACGTGAAATTGCTTAATTAAAAAGAATCGTTAAGTTTTTATATCTACTTTTCGATCCCCTGGCTGTTGGGATCGAGTGGTACCCTAGCTAATGCTTCATAAACCATTGTATACGGTGTCGCAAAAGTCGTGCACTATCCTGAAAACCCTCTTCTTACACGGAAATTGACGATTTTTAGGATGCCCTCACTACGGATTGCTAAAAAGACCACACCTGAAACACTCCGCATGTAAGAGGCCGCTTTCTTTCGAGAATCGATGCTTGTACTATTGCTGAGCGAGATCCGTTCAAGAATTTATTTGAGACTAATATCAATCCAGCTGTGTATGATGAAAAACAGAATGGTGTCCGACTTTTGGAAAATCCTGTATAATATTTCTTGCTGCTCGATGTCGAAAGCTCCCGGATGGCCCAGTCGGTTCAATAGAAAGTCTTGTTCGTCTCAGAGGCTCAGTGGGACCCCGTGTCCGCCCTCAGGGTCACTTTTGTTTCACGGAGGTTATTGGACAATTTTTCTCCCATCACGTAGTCACGCCCGAACTAGTCTCTCTCTCTCTCTCTCTCTCTCTCTCTCTCTCTCTCTCTCTCTCTCTCTCTCTCTCTCTCTCTCTCTCTCTCTCTCTATCTATCTATCTATCTATCTATCTATCTATCTGTCTATCTATCTGTCTCTCCTTCCTTCCCTCCTTTTGTGTGTGTTTGTGCGCGTCTGTGTTTATGTGCTTGTGTTCGCCGATAGCTGGTCTTGACTTGCCCCTGTCCTCACCAATTTCTAGCATTTGTGTCGATACCTAGTATGACACTTCTTTGTAATTGTTCTGGTGTTTCTGTCTTTTCCCCAGCAGTTAATCACTTTTTCGTGTCGATATACGATTATTTATATACTTCACCTGCGTCTGTGGTTTAGCGGGGAGGCGCTACGGCGTCGCACACAGAAAACGTGAGTTGGATTCCCGTGTAGGGGTATTTTTCATCAAGCGTCTCGTCTTTCTGCTGAGACGTTGTATCCTTCTCTGCCTGTCTTGGCCCTGGCAGGCAGGGTCGAAAGCAGCCGGCTCCAAAATTATCTAAATAATGTCCATTGGGCGGGAAGGGGGGGGGTGGAACTTCTTTGATTACATTCTTTGTATGTATTACTCTTGTCTTCAAAGACAGAACGGTGGGCCCACCATTCTACCAAAGCGCTTCCCTTAGAGTCAGAGAACTATTCCTGGTGCTCGTAAGTCGAAAGCAACAACAGGTGTGCCGTTTTTACTGACAGCGCTCTTTGAGTTCCTTTAGATTGCTGTCGTAGCACGCCTCTTCTGGGAAGGGCTACTTCTTTATTGTCCCTCTGTTGTTTCTGTGTCCATTGTAGTTTTCCCCGCACTGTACAGACCATTATCGCGTCGATAGTCTTGTCATTACAACAAACCGTTCCCTTGCTTTGGCATCCACTACCCCTTCTTTGCTTGTGGTTGGCGAGTGTTCTAGTCTGATTTTCTCCCCTTTCTTGTCAAACATCTATCATCCTTGTTTCTCTCCTTTTATGTGTATGCCAGTCTGAAGTAGCACCTAATCGTCAGCGCTTATATTACGTAATTGTGTTGCAAGTGCCGTAAAACTTTTGCTAAACGTAAATGAAACGTTTTTCTGTACTCTCTTTATAGCGTTGACCTATGCCCGTTCTCTCCCCGCAGGTGTATGACTATGACCGTGCCTGGAATGACGACCCGATGGGCGGGGCGGACATTGATGTTGCCTCTTTGGACGTAAACAAGTGAGAACTCTGATATTATAGCACGCTCTGCATTTTGCGAATAGGGTTTCTTTGTCCAAGCTCTCTGAAACCAGATAGCAAAGCCGCACTGTTCCCTCAGTTGGTACCATATTGGACTATAAAACGAATGGCCCTCGTTCGAATCCCCAGGGAGTTCTGAATTGGGGTTATTTTTGTTGTGTTTTAGGGCTCTCCTCGCCTATGGCTCGGTACTTTCGAAGAGGGACGTTACGTTCGGAGGTCCCGCCTCTTTAATGACTTCAGGGTGTTGAAATGGGCGTTAAACCTATAAAATGACCAAATAGCTAACGTCATCATTCGAGTCTGGGATGGACAGTGACCCCACTGGAACTTTGCGTTTGGAAGAAAAGGTATATCCCTTCCCCGACCGACAAAAGAAGGTCAGCTTCTGCCTCACCCCCTTTTGTCCTGTTTCTGGGCCGTGGCCGCTTAGTATTGCCGTCCGCGTTGAGAACTGTCAAGGGAATTGGATTGAGCTTGCTCGTTTATTTGGCTATCTACATAATGGAAGCCTGCGAGACTTCACTGGCTAATGGAGCATTCAGTCTCAAGGTCCCGATAGAGTTGTAATTCCTTCCCTTGTGGCAGAGAACACTGCGATAGAATAGATTTCTGTATCGTTTGCCTTTGGGGGAATTTAAAAAAGCATACTGCTTTGTGAGTACGCTTCAAATAAACCAATTGTATGGGATACGATGATTATTTTGTAAATCTGCACATAATTTCTTATTTGGGATACGTAGCTGCTTAAAATAGTCTGTTATGTTGTGTGTGTGTGTGTGTGTGTGTGAGAGAGAGAGAGAGAGAGGGAGAGAGAGAGTGCGTGTGTGCGCGAGCGTGTGTGTGTGTGTGTGTGTGTGTGTGTGTGTGTGTGTGTGTGTGTGTGTGTGTGTGTGTGTGTGAAAAGGGGAGTGAGGCGTCAATACGTGGGCATTTTGTAAGTGTTCGTGAAGGTACTCAAGGAGCACCAAATACTTACAACTTTAAGCGAGCGCTGAAGACATATTCTGTTCCTATCTGTGTCTAGGAATCATGGCTTGTTAACAAACGCGAATCTACAGGTTAGTGCACTGTACCACGAAAAGGCACAGCAATAGAGGCAACACTTGCCCATTCTGCAGCATCCTCTTACTGTCAGACAATAATGATAATATTATTCTTCGTCCTTCTCCTTTACCAAATCGATCTTGTTCTCAGCGGCTCAGTCCGCACGGAATATCTGATGGTAAATTTGACGAGACAAAGTGTCAATGATAGTCAAGAGAATTGGCTGGCCATATTTTACGTGCCATTAGCTCATTGAATAGGGTAGATTATCACGGAGAGAGTGACCTGGCTCGAGTTCACATGAAAAGACACTTTTCTGTGAGTAATACCGACCATTGGCACACAATTAGTTTTAAATTGACATGTTCAGAACAGTCTCAGGTTCAGGATAGAATCTTCAGCTGCTGTCCTTCTAAATATGAGTGTGTTTGCTTTTGCGTGAAGATGTGTTTGTGAGCACGTTTGTGTATGTGTGTGTGTGTGTTTGTGTGTTTGTGTGTGTGTGTGTGTGTGTGTGTGTGTGTGTGTGTGTGTACTCCCGCGTACGCGGTGTATGTATGGGTGTATTTTTATATAAGTTTGTCTGATTGGATTCTCTGTATCTCATGACATAAGCTACATGTCTTTGTTAGATGGATATCCTTTAGTATACCAATGAAGGTGACATCTGTCTTCTTTACCTCCAGAGAGACAGAGCTCAAACTATTGCTCAGCGAGCGAGGCAAAGAGGAGTACATGGGCTACGTTCTCCTCTCCTGTACGCTGGTACCCAAGACGGACGAGGAGAAAGACCAGGTAAGGATTTCCCATATTTCAAAACAGCTCCCCAGATGTTAACGTCGATTCAACATTCTAGAGAGGCTGGAAGTGTTAAATGAAGCCACAAGCTTTTTTCTGTGCACACTTTGGTCTTAGGCTCGACATCTCATAGCAGTGTCTGGGCCGTACTCGTCGTCTACTTAGTTTGCTCAGTCGATTAGGAAATGGGCCGTGAATCAGAGTGTCTTATTATAAGCCTAATGACATGTATAAGGGAATGGAGCTCTGGTAAATGATTTTTTAAGGGTAAGAATGGGTATATGAGTAGTTCTAGTAACCCAATGAGTATATTGCCTTACTAAGTCTATGACTACGGTCCCAGACGCTGTCACAAAGTTGCACTATAGTCGCACGTCACAGAGATGTTGTCTTCTCCTCCCTCCTGTCTGTAGGTTGATGTTGTGCCCTGCAGACAGTTAGTTCTCTGTGGTGTCCACTGCGTACCTCTTTGCACAGCACTGACCACTGCGTTATTGTATTGTCTCGTGGTATCAGGGAAAGAAGTGATGTTTCATTGTTTTCTATGGAAAGGGTCTTGCGTCGACATGCTGTGCAGCTCTCCATTTAGGCTAGAAGGGTAAATGTGATTCACTTCAGTGTCATATGTTTTATTTGGGTTATAGGAGTGATGTGCCGCTTTCTCTTTCATTGTTAGCTCTGTGGGCGTTGTTGGTGGTTTACAAGTAGTTCTCAGCCAAGGTTTGATTCGTCCTGTAAACATTTAGTTCTGCATAACATTGTGTACAATTCAGTGTGTGGAAAATACGATCAAATTAACGGATATAACGGCGATACCACCACTGTTACCTTTTTTAGCTGTCATGGCAGCTTGCTTATCCAAGTATTTTGAGACATGAAGGCGTGAATTGTCGTCCTTGGTTGCGTGGTTTTCCTCAAACTTCAGCAGGCCACAAGCTCTCGTCTAATTTTGTCCTTGTCAGTCAGAAAAGAATATCCTGCGCTTCCTACACCCAAGGTTCACATGTCCTGTCGTAGACTGTCAGTTGTGAGTGGCAGCAGAAATCAAAACTCAATTTGTGAGGCCTGTTCTTTGTGCAGTTAGGAAAGTCCTCCGTTGCTCCTGGATCAAAGTTTGTTTTTGACGTCAATGTTTGCATTTTCCAACATAATTAAAGATTTTCAATATTTTTTTCGCTCTGTTGTCCAAGATTTGTTTCCACACATTATTTCTGATTACATTTTAAATGATAACTGGTGAAACTGATGTCTACCAAAGTAGGGTGTTGAAACTGTGCTTTAGTGGACTTTTCCCAATAGTACTCCACTTTTTAAAATTGGATTTTCCCTCTTATACATTCTACTACATAGTTACCTGTAGCCAGTTGGTCCTTTTCTTCTGACGTAACTTCGGTGTCCTGCGCTCTCTCTCTCTCTTTGTGCCTGCACCATCTCTTTGTTTCTCTGTTTTGTTTTGTTGGCTGCCCTTTTCCCCTCTCTGTTCTCTTCATCAGCTGTAAGAGACACATTTGCATAGGGCAGCTCACAGCAGTTTCCCTGCTTTCTTTAAGGTGACATGCTCTCTGCTTTTTTATGGTCTTTGGTCACGACTGTGCCACGACACCTGGACATGCAGAAAGTATTTTGTATTCTGGTGCAAAACGTACACTGCGCAGCAAAATGCTATTCTATCTCGCTAATACAGGTAATTGTACTTCTGAACGTAGGCTTACGGGAGCGGACTGTCAGCTCCCTTCATCTATGCACTTGCCTGGTTCAGCACACTTGTTTATTTTGTTTCTATTAGAGTGACAAGCACAACTGTGTCACTGTGCCTGGTGTATATATTTCCTGCAGGAACGTTCGTGTGTCCGTTAAGACATGCTATGAGTATAATCTGCAATGAATATCCAGGAAGCTCTAAGATAATTACTGTCAGTTTATCTGCTACCACTGGTTAAACGTCAGTACTACATGGAGAAAAGCTGTGATTATTCAGACAGAGAAAGTCACCAGGTTGATCGTGCGTGGGTTTGTCTTAAAAGTTAGTTCATTCTAACTGGTTGGCCAAATATCAGAATGTTAAAACTAAACTATGTTGCCATGAGACTCCGTCATGGCAATATTTCAAAGGCAGTGTATGCAGTGTATATTGACTCTGTGTTAGTCCTTCAAGACAATTTTTTTAAAATGTATCACTTGTTGTCTTTCAATTCTCTGTCTCCATTATAGATATTCCTTTGCGTAGGATTAGAAAAAGATCATACTGAAAGAGAATTAGCGAGATTTTATTCTGGTTTTGCAATAATGATGTGCCGTATGGTCATTAAGGCATGATTGACCTCTACACGTAGATTAGTCCTTATGAGTCTTAGCTTTGGGAAATGGATTTCCCCCTCAGTCACAACCTTGTTATTTTGTCTCCAGAACAGAAGGCAATCGAAGGTGAGATTGCCATTTGGCCGCAGACTGACACCTTTGCTTTTTTTAAAAATCATAATAGTGTATTTCTTGCCTTCCCTTATTGTGTGTACTGCAATGCACTGTGTGTGTTTTATTGATCCTTTCATATTTCTGCCAAAGAATGTGTTTGTGTGCTATTTCTCTTCGCCCTTGTGCTTTTCTATATATATTTTTCGTGCTTTTCTATATATATTTTTCGTGCTTTATTTTTTTAATGGAAGTGTTGTGTGAATATTATTTCTTCAGCCTTCTGTAAAGAATATAATAAATATTCGATATTGAATATGTTGGTCCTTTCCCTTTCAGATTGATCGCTAGAAGATGTTTTTCTTAAAATATATCTTGAACAAAAGGGTTTATTTCCAGAAAATGAAATTGCATTTACGGGACGAGCAGTGCTTATTTCTATCTTTCATCGTGGGGTTGTTTTGAACTAGAATAAATGAAAGTCACTTGAAAGTTTTACGCGCTTTTAGGATCTTAAAAGTTTTGTAGTTTCTACATCATTCTGCTCCGGAAACCATTTAATGAAAAGCTCGTCGCGGTTCATGTGGAGCGATTACCTTTAAGATATTTTTCTTCTGCTGTTGCATTATTGACGTTCTCACTGTTGCTTAAAGCTTAAAAGTCCTCACTAAATGATAACGGTAGTAAGTGATTATTTCCTAAACAATATTAATAACTTCAATTGACTGTCTTAAAACTGCACGCATACACCATTTTTCGCTCTACATGCGTAGGCTACCCGTATCTGTCACATTTTCGATTTTACCGTGAACGTACACAAAGAATAAACAGATCCTGTTAGTAGTGTAATGATGTCAGCCCACGAAGCAAGCATTGATCTTGGAACGTAATGCCTTCTGTCAGCGTACCCCGGATGAGCAAGTAACGAACGCAAATGACATTCTCGGTCTTTGGTCTGTCTGTGTGATGTGATGTTGGTCGTGGACAGATTACAATTTTCTTCTGATTTCTCTACAAGTTTCTAAATCCTTTCCTCGAATATAAGCTCGATACGTTTTGTCCACGCATTACTGTGGTTGTGCTTATGGTTCTTCCCCTGAGCTGAGAAGACCTCGCTTGTGCTGCTCTCTTTCAATTTTCCGAGGAATGCTGTGTTGAGTAGAAGTGAATGTTTTTGGCTTTCAAGGTCGAGTGCTGACCATTATTACTTGTAGATTTTCCTTCGAAAACTGTGAAAAGATCCTAAATGTTGTCCTTGAAAGTTTGTTTATATGTGTTAATAAAACAGCGTTTATTGCTGTGGTCGATATTTTTTGTTCTATAAATGGATTGTGCTTCAATTCATGCATTCTTCTGTGTCTGTGCTATTATCGTAATCAAAAACGTCCATTTGTGTATTCCTATATATCTTTGCTTATCCCGCAAATACATATTTTATACAATCTCTTCGACTGCTAGTTTCCATAATAACTGCTTGCTCCTCAGCCAAGGTCTTTTTGATATACACAGCTAGTAGCCTCGTTATTTGATGCCTATTCCTAGCTAACTGTACAACCTATTCATAGTACTCTAGTGTCACAATATCACTATCACCCTTTTTCCCTCCATTTATTTATCAGTGTTTTCACTCCTTACCTCCCTTCGACACCGAAATTATTCTATGATATTTTCTTTTATTTATTTTATCTAGCTAGCTTTTTTTTATTTTCAAACCTTAGCCTTCCTAGCTTAGTGGCATCGTGTAGTGCCAATCGTTTTGAGTCGGTCTGCGCATCGAACTACTCAGTGTGTGTGCATTAAAATATATTCTACACGTGCAAGTACCACTGCCTTTTTTTTATATTTACTCCGACTTACATAAAGATTGAACTGGTGTCTGTGGTGTAGCGGTAAGGCGTTTCGCCGTCGCGTGCTGAAGATGAATTAAAATTTGATTCCCGTGTGTGGAGAATTTGTATTGAGTACATCGTATCTTGATCTTTGTACTGGGACGTTGTGCCCCCCCCCCCCCCCCCCCCCCCAGCCGGGTTGGCCTTGTTTTATAAAGAAATCTAAATTGTGTCGATGGAGGTGTTAAACACCATCATTAATAAAAGATAACATGAAAGATCCCGAGTCTTTAACCGTCGACCCCTTGTACTTATTGTCTCTGTCACCATTATCCTTATACATGTAGTATATTCAAATTTGAATGTAGCTGTTTCTGTGTTGACTTAGGGAAACTTTCAACGACAGCAATAATAAAAGCAAGAACAGCAGCAACTACGTGTACTTCTGCCATATCCTATGTTTCCTTCCGATAATTGATTCATGTGATTTCAAATGTATGGTCTAGTGTTAGCACTTTAGTTGTCGTTTAGTGAATCGTTGCTCTGAAATGTCTTCCAGTAACAATGAGCGGCATCCTTACTCGCTCAGAAGCGAACCACAACCATAATTAATGCTCTGTCTGTGTCAATCCAGCTAAAGACATCTTTTCATTTCATGGCAGAGATCGAATCTGTATTAAAAGCAAAGCGTAAATATGTAAAGATGAGCCGTTTTATTCCATGTATTGCTCTGGAAAGACGAAACCGGGGACCAGTCGGGTGTAGTGATAAAGACGGTCCCCTCGTAATCCGGAAATGTGGGATTCAGCTACTACAGTACTGCGGAGCATATTTAATTAAGGAAGTGGTTAAGGCTCAGCCTCGTTACCGACTGTCGTTTAGCTTGAGCCTCTTGTATGGCTATTTTTAAGGGTCATTGAACATCGTTCGACATGGTAAAGGGCACCACTTGTTGGTCCTACTGTTATATTTTCCCTCTGTTGTTATTGCCTTTCGTTTTTCCAGCACTAAATGGCCATTATTGTGTTGTTGTACTTCTCTGTACTCTAACAAATGAACACACAAGTAAACGTGAAAAAACAACAATGATGCAAAAAACGAGCCTCTTCTGGCTATGTGATCGCCAGTCCTCCTCCACACTAACTCCACCCCCACCTCTCCTTCCACCCACCTCAAACACAACCCCCACTTCCTCATTAGACGTGAGCAACTATTTCGAGTCACGGAATCTTTTCGCGAAAGGGAAATAAGCCCGGGCTGGGTTTAATTGGTACTATCAAGCAGTGACCATACTTTTAATGAACTCCTGAAAGAGATGAGGGCGATTTGGATACTACTTATAGATAGTCGGCCTTTTTGCGTGGAACGCCCTTCAAAATGCAAAATAAGAACATTTAATTTGCTTGTGAGGGACTCCCTTGAAGGCTTGCTGAATATCGTCAGCGGCCTGTTTACCATTTTAAGCAATTTCCTAAGTACACGAGTGTACTTGAATATGAAGGCATCGTAGATCTCAATAATAAATTAATTGTGAAATGTTCACGCATTACTGTAAAGATGTGACAGACTAACAACTCATGATTGCTGTGGAGAAGTTCCCAACAGCGGACATCTCTCTCTTTCTCGCCTTCTCTCTCTCTCTCTCTCTCTCTCTCTCTCTCTCTCTCTCTCTCTCTCTCTCTCTCTCTCTTTCTCGCTCTCTCTTTGTCTCTCACTTTCTCTCTTTCTCTCTCTCCCTTTCATTCTACCCTCTCTCTTTCTTCTCGCAACCTCTCACTCACTCTCTATCTATTTATCTATCTATCTATCTATCTATCTATTTAATCAATCGATCGTCTATCTCCTCTCTCTCTCTCTTTCTCTCTCTCTCTTTCTTTCTCTCTCTCTCTCTCTCTCTCTCTCTCTCTCACTTTTACTCTCCCCCCACTCTTTCTTCTCTCAATCTCTCACTCTCTCTCTTTCTTTCTTTCTTTCTTT